TTAGCACTGGGTACTGGGATGTCAAATTTCTAATTACATAATTGACCAACTCTTAACTAATCAATTATTTCCTATGGCATAAAGAATGATCATTTTAAATAATTATTAATATAGAACAAAAAAAAAATGTACCTATTATTGTTTAGTTCAATACATTGGAATTCCCGAATAGACACTATTATGACATGGATTGAAAATAAAAATCAACCAGCTAATCTAGTGTTTGCATATTTTGAAGAACCAGATAAAACTGGTCATAAAAAAGGAGTCGGCTCACAGGAGATAAAAAATCAAATCGTTAGAGTAGACAACACGGTCAAGTATGTTTATAATTTAACTATATATATAATTTTCAATACATATAATTATATTACAATATCTCAAAACTATTAATATTTAATATTATACACTTATTTAAAACTAGATGAAGATAATTTAAAAAAATTATAAATAACTCTTTTTTCACCAAGTTAGTTCAATATTTTTTTTTATAATAACTTTTATCTATTTAAGTTAAATACAATGTTATTTGTTGGCTCCCGCATGTTTGAAATCCTACGCAACAACCCCCCACCCCCAGGCCACTATCATTTGTAAAAKGTATGTATAATATAATTAACATATGCCAGGATCACGCACCTCTGTTTGTTTTATATTAAATTATAGATTAACGTTCTTAACGTTGGCTTTACTTAAATATAAATCAAATTAATTTTTTCATGATGGTCTTGCCAACCTCTGCCTTAACTTGGTAGGAATCATATGTTAAAAATATTTTCAAAATTATAATTTCAGTTGTTTAATATAGATATATGGTTGATCAAATAAAATATAAAAATTTAGAAGAGAAAATAAACCTCATAATTCTTAGCGAMCATGGAATGGACACAGTAACATATGATAGAATGATATTTTTAGATGATTACGTATCCAATATGACCTACAAATCCGTTATTACAGGTCCAAATGCATTTATACTTCCAAATATGGGTAGGTAAATAATTAAAAAACAACGGTCGTCCAAGTTCAATGTATAACATTATTAAAGACACTAATAATKATATTATTTTCAGGTAAATTTGACGAAGTTTTCACGAATCTTTCAAACGGAGCCAATACATCAAAAACGTTTTACGTATTTCAAAAATATGAATTACCTGACCGTTGGCATATGAAGAATAATCCTAGATTGAACGGGATCATTTATTTGTTGGCGAAACCCAGTTACGCGTTTTGGAATAGTTTTTTTCAAAAAATTTTGGATGAAACAAGTTAGTTTAGTTAACTTTTAGTTAAATTATTTCGTTTATTTATTTTAGAAGGTAGGTACATAAGATAAGTAAAAGTATATTTTAAAAACCGACAATTGTAAAAACGTAAGTACATATACTACTTTATGTGAAGATTATTATCTAAAAATTGATATTATTTGCCATCAAAATTATACTGTTAATCGATTTTTTGGTTTTGGTTCGAACGATCACTACCATTTATAAAAATTATTTWWAAAAAAAAGTAAAGACAACTTACCACTTTATAATCTCATAAAATTTTTATTTCGCAATATTAGATTTTGACAAAAGTTAAGAATGTTTAGTGGAGGTGGATTGATGGTGGTGAAACGTAAACCATTGTTGGGGATAGGATATATCGTACATGGATACGCACTACTATTGACTAAAGTAGCTGCCACGTTTTATATTTTGCTTTAGGCCTCAAAATTCCTATATCAAGACCTGGCTGAAAGCTAAAAAATCATCTACTTTCACCCCTATAAATTATATTATAGATTAAATGAAGTTTTATACATATACTTATCTACACCTTTTACTGTAATTATACAAACTATATATTAAATCTGATAATCATCTTATTACATTAGAAATCCCTTTGCTGCATTATTATCTTCATATAATCATATCTTAGATGTGAGAATTAGATGATAGAGAAATTTTATTGGCTTTAATAACATGGCTAAGTCGGTTATCTAGTATCACTATTATATRCGCGAAGTACATATATCCGTATGAACCGAACATTTTTTTAAAATGTTTCTCATTTATATTTTGCGCAGCCAAGGAAATGTTCAAAGCTGGGACCCACGGATATGACAACGATGAACCTCTGATGCACGCCCTTTTCATGGTCTCGGGACCGATGTTCAAGAAAAACTTCACAGCACAACCATTTGACAACGTAGACCTGTACCCGCTAATCAGCCACCTGTTATCATTAGATAAGGCGGCTAATTACGAACGGACAGTGAACGGGACGATAGCTGGCGTCGAACAACTATTGCTGTTGTCCAAGTCATCCAGTGCCGGCACGTCGTTGTCGTCGCCATCGCCGCACATCCTGGCTGGCATAATAGCGACCTTCATTGACGCTTTGCAAAAGTTCCAGTAACCATAATATTCTAATATTATGACATTATGTATAGAAATCTGTTTTGTCTTGGCATTCGACGCAACCGCAATTATACATTGCAACTTGCCACTGATATGTCTTGTGATATTGGTATTGTTATAAATTTAAAATTAGAATTATTGTCATTATAGTCTCGTAAAAAAATGTATTCAATGCACAGTAGAAGAATAAAACTGTAGATTGATTTTTGGCGAATAAATTATTGTAATATTTTTTATAGACGTTACCCTTTTAAATGTTTAATATCGCCAAATAATAATTAATGATTTATATGATATGCAAATAATACTGTTTATTTTTTCTTTATATTTAAACAAATAATACGAAACCTGGATATTGTGTATTATAAATAGGTAACTAGAAATTGCGATGATAAGTGTGAACTGTGGAGTATAAGCAGTAAACGGGAGAATGGTATAATTTTAGAACGACCAATTATCCAAAATAAAAAATGTAAAGATGTTTGAATGGATTACTTTATATTTACTGTAAAATGAATCAAAATATTCAAATACTCCGTATACCAGATACAAGCTTATATCTCAATACGTATCAGYATTATTGATGTTATTTATTGCAATTATTGAACTTTAATTGATTTGGCTGAAATTTATAATTAATAAAATTAATAGGCAAGATTACTTTGTATCTATTTGAAAACTTTTTCTTTTTTGGAAAATTATTGAAGGTAACAAACATTTTCAWTTTTATCAGTTTTCCCAATTTGTTAAATAAAATATATTAAATAAATAATAGAACTGATGCAAAGTAATCTTTATCAAATAAAATGTCCTTACATTTTTAAATCGAAGTAAATTAATTTTTGTCAGTTGCTAAGATCGTAATACGGTTTGCAGGGACTTTAAAATATTAAGAAATTTGCCTATATTAAACGCCTTAGAAAACGCCGTGAGACATTCTCACAGCTATGTAATTTTGAACTGATATCTTACAAATTTAATTTATAATAAATATTTCTATAAACTAATTATTAATGAGTAATAACTAATAACTAGATTAAATAAGAATTTCATCAAACTATATGTATATTTTTCACATATGCGTAAAATAAAAATAAACTAGTCAATCTAGGTTTAATTAATTAGTTTATAAATTAGTAGTCATAGTAGCTGACTTTATAAA